GTGTCAAAAGCAGCTCTTGTCTCATGTCACAAGTTCTTGACATCAAATTTCTCAAAAAGCAGCTGCAACAGCAACGTAAAATAAATGAATGTCAGCCTTGTAGCTTGCCCATCTCTGTCCTAATGAGCTCCTTTACTCCCAGACCCGTACTATCGTCCTGGGCTGAAGCACCCAGCCTCTGAGATTTAATCACTGAGATCCGGCAAACCGGATTCATTTTCCTTTCTAACTGTTCTTCGGCTGGTCCCACCTCTTTCTCCTCGGTGTGAGTCAGTGGCTCAAGCGTATGTCTCTCCTGATTTTAATGCCACCAGTTCAGAGTCCTCTGTGTGGCGCCCGTTCAAGTGTTCGGTGTTACAGTCATGGTGGTACATGAAGGCGGGTACCTCGGTGATGGAGGTGGCTGTGTAGGACGTGGAGCGCATTGAGCAGTGGTCCTTTCGTCTCTGACCCCACTGGGTTTTATACTGCATCCACTGTCTCTTTAGAGCTGCCTGCACCTGGACGACACACAAACACACATGTAAAAGAGATGGTCCACTATCATGGTCAAAATCTTGGACATTGTTTTTTGAAGGTAATGCTTTGGCCCTAATGTGGGGATCAAGCGTGGTTATGGTTACCAGGGTATCTAAAAGTGGTATTTTAATTGCCTTTGTCATCTAAGTGCAAATACTGTCAAAGTTACACATTGCAAACATTTCTCTAAACTTTTTTTTCTGGTTTGCTTCACTGTTGCACTTTGACCACAAGATTATTCCACCAAACGTCCAAATTTCAATATGCAAGCAAAGCAGAGCCAGAGTAAGCACCGTCTCGTGACAACAATAATCCAACAGACGGTGATCTATACTGATGCGAGCGTGATTGCTGTAGCATATGTGGATCACTCAAATTTCAATCACATTCACAGATGGCAGTTACGACATGTAAACACCCAAGTCATATTTCCTGAAATGTGAAAGATGTAATCTGTACTGAGCTGTATGTTAAACGTTTCAACAATCATGTAATTCATATTCATTCTACCCTACATCTGTCATCTACACTGCTCATAGGGTGGACGAGGACCTTCCCCTCAGCCATTGGACAGAACACACAAGCACCAGGACTGATAAACTGGGCAATAATATGACCGTAGATACAACTGTTTACTATTTATTTTCTTTACTTATATTTATTATTTGATTGTTTATATTTAGAGTGTCTTGCTTGTACTTTTTTTAAAATTCTTTGCTGCTGTGACATTGTGAATTCCTCCGTTGTGGGATTAATAAAGACATCTAAATTTAATTGAATTGAACTGAATTGCACTGGCTTCTGTTCACGGCCATTCAGAGATGTCAGGACAAATATTTACATTTTATCTGCAGCCGACTGTTTGAGGAATGTGCAACATTTTGCGCAGCTCCCACCACGATTATCCAAAAAGGGTACATGATTGTTACTTTTCTCTATTGCATTGTCAAGTTCTGTGTGTTTTTAATTGATTACAGCTCAGCCCAAACTTGAAAACTGCTTTTCTCTCTGAAGAACGCAAAGGACAACTCAATCTTTTCACTTCTTGATTCTTTATTTTCTTTGAGATGGTTTGATAGACCAGTGATGGAATAATATGGTATAGTTTCTTGAATGTGACTTGATAGATCAGTGTGGGGCAGTAGGTATAGGTTGATAACCTTTCAAATACACAAACCAAAACATGAATTAGTTACAGTTAAGTCATGAATCAGTCACACATAAATCACAATACCACTTTCTCACAGAAGTAATAAATAAATGCTATTGAATCTTCAAACCAAACTAAACACGATCCTTAAGTCTAACCTAGGATTTTAACAAGAAAATCCCAATCCCGTAATTAAACTCATGCACATGTTACTTCTGTCAAGTTCAACATTCACATAACAAATCCCCATTACTTATTTTAAATTGCAAATTACAATCCAAGCAGAACCTGAACATTTAAACTCAATATATTCAAACACAGTCAATCATAAATTGTCCTACCAGTTGCGTCTTTGAGTGATCAGGAGCTGTAATCATAGTGTCCTTTTCCAGGAATAAATGAGAGAACCAACCGAACTCTCTACAAACATTTCAATGCCATGTTCCCTCTGTGGGTGCGCAGGCAAATATAGTCCCAAAGCTACTTCCCATGCATGATTGCCCCCTGTAGTTGCATGATTGCCCCCTGCAGTTTGGGAGTGCCCTGAGAGCCCTGGGTGAATCAAGGCTTGGATTGCTCAGTACAACTAAAGCAAAGTAACCATAAATTGACACAACACCTCCCACTTGACCTCCTGGTTCTTCAACCCAAGGAGGTCACACCAGAACTGTGACGTGTCGGATTTAGTTACTCCATTTTTGGTCCTGTTGCTACTGCTGCTCTTCAACTGGAAGTAGGATAACTATCCGTCTGACATCCCTGTGAAGAACTGTTGCAGGTATCTTGGTTGAGTGTTTTTTCATCTTTTTAGTCAGTTTCACAGTTGCGACTGGGTAGCTGGGGAAGGATCGGAGATATACATCCCTCACAATTCCCTTCCTGTCAGTGTTGACGTCAATGACCCTGGCAAGCCTGAACTGACCTCTCAAGGCATTCTGGTCAGCCAACCAGACGACATCTCCAACTGCCACATTCCTGTGAACGGTGTGCCACTTGGTCCGGACAAACAGATTTGGTCCGGCTAACTGGCTCCATTTCCTCCAGAATCGGTCAACTTCTGTTTGGATGATTCTCAATCTTCTGTAAGGATAGCCTTTAAAATCAAAGGTCTCTGGATCTCCCCTGGGTCCAGTTCTTCCGAGCAGAAGCGAATTTGGGCTGATGTATTCCACACAGTCCTCCCGGCTCTGAGTCCTGGCATCAATAGGTCGTTCATTTGCAAGGTTGGAAGCCATATAAAGGAAAGTTTGAAATTCACCCCATGTGAAGACTCCATCACCCCCCAGATTGTGCAAAGCTCGTTTTATCATCCGGACAGCAGCCTCAACAGCTCCGTTTCTGTGAGGTGAGTCTGCTGGATGGATCTTCCAGCTCCACTCTGTGCCATGCTTGGAGACTTCATCTTCAAGCTTTGATTTCTCCAGTCGGTCCAGAAACATGTAGAGCTCTTTGAGGGCAGGTCTGGCTCCGACGAAGTTCTTCCCAGGATCCGACCACAATTTCCTCGGATGTCCTCTCAGTGCCGTAAATCTTTGGTAGGCTAGAAGAAAGCCTTCAGCTGACTGGTCACTGACAAGGTCTGTATGCATGGCTCTGGACGCCATACAACAGAAGACGATTCCCCACACTTTGAGTCTCACTTTCTTTCTCACCTCATCCTTCACTTCATAAGGTCCAAATAGGTCCACTGTCGTGTACTCAAATGGATTGGCTGGAGTTATTCGCTCCGATGGAAGGTCACTCATGATCTGTTGGCATCTTCGGGCCTTAAGTCTCCTGCATGTCACACAGTTATCAACAATCTTCTGGACTAGTTTCCGGCCTCTTACTACCCATGCTTTCCTTCTCATCCGGAGGAGTGTGCCTGCAATTTCTTCATGATTTGCCTTATGGGCTTCTTGAGCTAGAAGAGTGGATACCCATGATGTACAAGGCAGGACTGGTACTGCAGTTTTTTCTTCATTAAAGATTTGGAATCTTCCTCCACAGAGCAAAAGTCCAGTGCTTTCCTCCCTGACCACAGCAAGCCTGCTGAGTGTGGTGTCAGGTAAGGCTACCTCCATTTGAGCCGCAAGGAAGAGATCCCTGAGCGCATCCTCACATTCGATGATAGTGAGTGTAGTTCCCTTGACTCTGGACTTAATCTCAAGAGCTGAAGGAATTTCCTTCCTCTTTGGTTTGCTTGTAGTTGAGGTCTTGACCAGCATTTCCTTCCATCTTGTGGCAGCTCTCCACACCCAGCCAATGATTCTTATCAGCTTGGTTAAACTACTGAACCTACTTATGTCCAGGATTTTCCTCACTGAAGAACCAGAAGGTGGTCTCCTGACTTGGATTTGGTCCCCTCCTTTCCCACTAGGGATGCTTTGCAGATCGTCCTTCTTTCATTAGAGATTGGGAACCTTGGCATTGTAGTGGTAGGTAGAGCATGTTGTTTTTTTTCCCTCTGTGCTCGGGTCAGTGCTGCTGTAAAACATTTCCTTTGGAGCTTGTTTATACCTTCTTTAGCTTCTGCAGCAACATCTCTGGCTGACTTTGTCGGCCACTCCCCAACAGGTCGTTTCAAAAACTCTGGGCCATTTTGCCACACAGAGTCCTCTTTCAGGTCTTCTGGGGTTGCTCCTCTTGTTGTGAGGTCAGCAACGTTTTGCTCACCTGGAATCCATCTCCAGTCTTCAACTGATGTGGACTTCTGGATCTCTCCCACTCTGTTTGCAAAAAAGGTCTGGTACCTGTAACTGTCCCTTTGGATTGCACCTAGCACAGTTTGACTGTCCAGCAGATGGAACCAACGTTCAACTTGTATCCGACTGTGCCTTTCAATGTATTTTCTGAGTCTCGCAGCAAACACAGCACCACAGACCTCAGCCTTCACTGCTTCTCCCTTTTGGTCAAGCGGTGTGAGCTTGGCTTTGGACTCAACAAGCCGGACCAGGATGCCTTGCTCGGTCTCCCACCTGAAGTATGCAACAGCTCCATAGCTCTGGTCGCTACCATCTGAGAATGTTATTCCCCAGGGTTCTCCAATCCTTCTGACTGGTGTGAGACTTCTATGGAAGGTAATTTGGTTGAGGCGTGTGTATTCCTCAAACAGGTGGATGGCTTCTTCTCTAAGTCTTTCAGACAGAGGTGCGTCCCATGTGTCTCGTGTTAGAGTTTTGCCTCCAGCTTCTTGAAATGCTTTTCTGACCAGAATGGCTCCTTTCTGTTTGGCAGGTGTTGCAAGACCTATTGGGTCATACAAACTAGCTACTTGGCTAAGCAGTTGTCTTCTAGTCAATGGGTTTGGAGTTTTTCCTCTCACCTCTTCTTCGACGAGATTTTGGCTCATCCTCATCTTCTTTTTTCTCTTTGAGAAGTTTATCAATGTCATGAGGTACAGTTTGTCTGGTTCGACCAGGTAACCAACTCCAAGGGCTTTGTTGTCTCCTTCTCTCATTTGGTTGGGGAGAATGAAGACTTCATCTGACGATGCTGGACGTTCTGATGTAGACGTCTGCCTCCCACTTTGACCTGATCGGACCCACGGCTTAAGGAAGAATCCACCTGCCTTCAGTATTTCTTCAACTTTTTTGGTGGTTCTGTCAAGCTTTCCCAGGTCATTATGTGATGTCAGAATGTCATCTACATAGGAATCCTCCTCAAGGACTCTCCGTTCCTCCTCCAGATGAGTGAACATGGGCAGCCTTGCTGTCTCTCTCATGGCCAGTTGTGCGATGCACCCTGCTGGTCGATCGCCAATGTTGACCCTGGTGATGCCATATTCCTCAATTTCTTCATCTCCACTGTTTCTCCAGAGAAATCTATGGAGGTGCATCTCCAGATCTTCAAGCCACACAGAATTGTACATCTTTTTGATGTCGCCGAGGGCAGCATGGACTCCTTTCCTGAACCTTAGTAGCACTGCTCGAATGGGATTAAGTACATCAGGCCCTTTCAGGAGAAGGTCATTCATGCTGATCCCTCTAAACTTCTGGCTGCTGTTCCATACCAGTCGGACAGGTGTTGTTACAGAGTGTGGGTTTGGTGCCACCAAGTGACTGACGTACCATACTGGTCCTTTCCAGTCAGCAATGGTCTCTCTACTGAGTTTCTTTGCTGCTCTCCTTTCCACCATCTCATGGACTTGAGTTGTGTATGCTGTACGCCACTCTGGTTGTTTCTTGAGCTGTTTTTCCGTCCTAAGAAACGTGGCTTCCACTGCGCTTCTGTTGTTGGGCAGGGAACTTGGATTTTCAATCCAGGGGTATTTTGTGTCCCAGTGAGGCTCCTGACTATGCGCATCTGACTTCACATAGCTGAGGCCTCGCCTGATCACCTCAAGCTCTCTCTCTTCACTCAAAGTCATGTCTTTGCCTCCTGGCTGACAGTTACCACACCGGCATCCTCCACACATGGGTTCGCAGGCTGCACCAATGCTGTCCCACTTCCACCAATCCAAGAACTCCAAGTCCCAATAACAGTGGTTTTGGTTTCAGCTCTAGATTCTTGCATCTCAGCAATTTCTTGATACTTCACTGCTGTGATTCTCATTGATCGTGCAAAGTGAGTTTCAGAATTGTGTAGGGCCATACCCAATACTTCACAGAGATCTGGATGCGCTCCGCCAACAGTCTTTCCTAAAGGGCTTTCCCACAGGACAAGATCTCCTACCACCTTTATTCTCTGTGGAGCAAGTCTTCCTTCACGGTGGCTTATGAGAAGTTCAACATTTTCTGGTCTGTGAAGATCTTCCAGGTTGGTTTCGGGGAAGAACTTCTTGAGTTGCTGTGCTTTGATCACTCTGTGAACTTTGGCAATTTCATCCAACCCATAACAGATCAGCTCATGAGCTCTTTCTGTGTCTCTAGGTGTCTTGACTCTTACCTTAAGTAAATATCTTTTGGTTCTTACTTTCATGGCCATACCTCCAACTCCATGGACGACAAGCGTGATCTTTTCACTTTGAAGTTTCAATCTCTTGGCAGCTATATGAGTGATGTAATTGGTATCTGATGCTAAGTCAATGAGAGTTCCAATTTTCTGTCCTGCGTTGGTGGTTACTTCAAGAAGCATAAGAATTACTGGTAACTCACATGTGCTTGAGTCCATCACTCCAGGAAGACTTCTCCCTGTGCAGTGTGATTTTGCAGCCATATTGGTGAAGGCTCTCCTTTTTCCGCCATGTCCGGGGTAAGCTCAGACATCAATATCTCTTGTTCCTCTGTGAATGTTTGCCTTCTGGTGCTGGGTCTCCCCACTTTCACAGATTCTTTCCTCTTGAATCCTCCTTTCAGACAAAGAAAGAAATGGTGATCTGAAGAGCTCCCTCTTCTGCAGTCTCTGTTCCTGCATAGGTAAATGTCCGTACATTCATCATCCTCTTTATGACATCTCAGACATCTTCTGCATGCTCCAAGCCTTTCTCACCAGGTTCCAGTTCTTTAAACTGCTTACAAAAGAAGATTTTCACACGATGCTTCTCGTCTCCACAGACAACACATCCTCCTTTCCTCATAGACTTTGTGGAGGCATACCTCTTCTCCAGGTACGTAGCTCTCTTTTCAGGTCTTTCACTTACACCCAATTGGTCTAGTTTCTCTAGAATGTCCTCTTGTGTCTTTAAGAATGTTAGAAGGATGTCGAAGTGTTTGTCAGGTGTGACTCCATTTCTTGGATTGACCATGAACGCCAGCCAGTCCCTCTTTATATTATCTGGGAGCTTGCTCTCTATGGATCTGATCACAAGGGGATTCTTTATGGCTCCCGTGCTTTCGAGCTCCGTAAGGTCATTCAGGGCCTTTTCCACAGCCTGAATTAGGTCAATTACCTTCCTTGGCTGGTGTGACTTTAAA